ATTTATTTAAATCTTCCAGGGGATATAGGGAGGTCTTTATTTGCAGATGATGGTGCTATATGGAAGAAAGGTAGAAATGTTGAGTATATTTTAAAGAAGATGCAGGAAGGCATTGATCAAGTTAAAATTTGGGGAATAAAATGGGGATTTAAATTTTCAGTGGAAAAATCGAAAGTAATGTTTTTTTCAAATAAAAAGAAGGATAAGGAAATTAAGTTGGAAATATATGGAAGTATATTAGAGAAAGTAGAATGTTTTTCGTTTCTTGGGATTATATGTTGACACAAAACTAACATGCAGAGAACATATAAAGTATATAGTTAAAGGCACACTGCGGAACTTTTGGCCACTAGTGGCGCTCGACCTGTAACTTTCACGTCTAGCGTCCCTAGAGGCCACAAGCTCCGCAGCACTGTCGCAAAAGTCAACAAACAGTCAACCGGTCAGCCCATAGACAGTGGGTCAGCTTCCCGTGTCTTTAGATTGTGTGTGCTTGCAGTGTTTGAGGCGGGCAGCCTGGCCGCGCTCGATTCCCTTATAGCAGTCTGCTGAGAGAGAGCGAGCGGCTTAGTGCTAACATGTCTGTGAGTGAATGTGGGCGCGGGACGGCGGGCCGGGCACATTTACTGCACTAAAAACACCGTCGGCCTGAGCTGACTGTAACTTATGTGTGTTGGTTTCGTTTTACAGAAACCGTGGGACATGTTGTGTGTAGTGTTTGTGGGCACTGAGTCGTGGGAACGTTCACTACATTTAATGTACATTTGACATGAGTCGATTTTATTTGTGCGAGCCCTGCACTGTGGCGGGCTGTGTTTGTGTGTAGAAATGAACAATGGGCTGTGGGCATTTTATTACACTCATAACACCATCGGCTGTGGCCGGAATACCAGAAAATACTACACTGCTTATATGATTTATCTGTGTCACCTTGGAAACGGCATTTGTGTGCAGGCAAGCGTTAGCATCGGTCGGGCACCCCTCCTCCTCCTGTAGCTCACGCCAGCGAGCGAACGCTGGACCAATGGTGATCCTCGTCCTGGCTTTTCATTTGTCACTATGCCTTTTTCTTTTTTTTAGTGTCCTCTGACAAAACCTTTGCCTTCTTCCTTGTAGCTGTTGGTTCGGCCATGACGAAAACAGACAGACGGCAATCAAACGCGAGTTGAGCACTCACGTCAGAATCTGAGGAAGTTGTGGGTGGTGGGGGAAGTGACGTATGCCGTAAAGCGGTCGAATTTTGTAGTTCTTTTTGTGCTCGGGTTCCTACCCGAACCCCGAAGTTACATAGTGCTAGGAAAAGCGATACAGACACCTTCAGGCTTTGGCAGACGTGTCATTCAACCTATTGTAAGTCGATGTACCATCTCAATGGGTTTTGGTAATATATTATAAAGGTTGAAAAGTTCCACAGTGTGCCTTTAATAAATGTAAAAAAGTGCTAAATGTGATGAGGTGTCTTGCAGGGTTGGAATGGGGAGCAAGTGTTTCAGCTTTAAAATATATCTATATTGCTTAAATACGATCTAAGTTAGACTATGGGAGTGTTGCATATGGGTCAGCAGCAAAGTCAACATTAGCTGAATTGGACATTCTGCAATCGTGTGCTTTAAGAATATGCTTGGGGGCAATCAAAACTTGTGCGCTTCAGGTTGAGGGAGGTGAAATGCCATTGTGGCTTAGACGGAAACAATTGGAAGCAAACTATTGGATAAATCTTAGAGGGCACGAGGATAGTCATCCAACAAAAAAGGTGTTACAGAAGTGCTGGGAAAAGGAGAGAAGAAAGAAAGATTTGGTTGGACAGGTGATTTAATTGCAAAAGAAATGGAAGTGTATAATAAAAGATTTGCTAATACTGTGTTATGGCCTGTTAAACCAATGGACTTTGGAAATTCCGAACGTTGATTTAGAGCTTTTATTAATTAAAGGATGTAACAGAAATATAGATATAACCAATGAATACTATAAATATAAGAACAACAAGTATAAGGACAGTATTCAGAATTTTACAGATGGGTCAAAGGACCTACAATCAGATGCAACAGGGTCTGCGGTATACACCCCTAAATATGAGATAGGCATTAGTAAAAGAACATCTGACAACCTAAATGTTTATGCTGTTGAATTATGTGCTATAGGTATTGCATTAGAATGGATTGAACAATCCAGGGATAGCAACATTTTAGTATGTAGTGACTCTGTATCAGCTCTTATGAGTATGAAGACTGGAAAACCTAGTAGTCATCAAGAAATATTATATGAAATCTTGTTTGTAAATTCAAGGGTATGTAGACAAGGGAAAAATATTATATATATGTGGATACCAGCACATGTGGGCATACAGGGAAATGAGAAAGTTGATAGATTGGCAAAAAAGGCATCGAAAAAGAGCGTGTTGACATTGAAATTAAATTGTCAAAATCAGAAGGTAAGAGTCTAGTGTGGAAAAAGGTCATGGAAATATGGCAATACCAATGGGATCATGAAAGTAAAGGAAGACATCTACATGATTCAAAATAAAGTAGGTATTATAAGAGAGATGTCAAATAGAAGGAAAGAGAAAGTTGTATTAACAAGACTTAGGATTGGACATAGTAAGTTAAATGGAACTTGTATTTTAGGAAAACATCCCACAGGTCAATGTGATGAACGTCAAGAGGAGGAAACAGTCAGTCACATTTTTATGTCATGCAGGAAATTTACTCAAGAAAGGCAAGAGTTGAAACATAATTTACAAGAAATTGGTATAGGACAATATAATGTAAAACATATATTAGAATATGGGAAGAGTGAACAAGGAAATAAACATTTATTTTATTTTTTAAAGAGGACTGGACAGGAAAGACGAATTTAAGTATGAAGTGACAATAAGTGATAATAAACAGCAGATGGCAGTAATGCAACTTTTTGGATGCCAACTGCCCTAAAACACCAAGGAAGAAGAAGAAGAAGAAGAAGAAGAAGAAGAAGAAGAAGAAGGAAGCTGTCCTTTGTCGCTTCATTGTCAAAACTGTGTCAAGATCTTTGTCAAACTTTCTGTGAATCTTGTCTATCGTATCAAGCTGTGAGTACCTGTTGACCGTCTTGTTTTGTAAAGGTCTTTTATTAGTTTAACCTGTCTTGTTTTGCCCCATCGTGGGTTTTGTTTTCTGTTTTGTCATCAATAAACCCCGTTTTGAGTTATTTGCTGTCTGCGCTTGGGTTCGTTCCTCCAACCACATGACAGTATTTGGTGGTACAGAAAAAAAGTCTTCTTGCGGGCGGGAGCGGGACAAAACATAAATGTTGCGGGCGGGAGAAAGTAACATAGACGTTGAGAACGTCAGTTATAATAATGACCCACGTATTAAAATGGTCGGGTTTAAATCGGGCTCGGGCTCATAATTACAGTTAATGTGTCGGGCTGGGCTCGGCCTCGGACACAATGTGCTCGGGTAGGGTCGGGCTTACCGAGATCTACCTCGGGTAACACTTACAGGCACGAATCAGTCGTTTGTCCTTGGGGAACTTGTGGAGCCTCACGCCCAGCCTAGTGGAAGGGAGAGGGCGTGCTTAAAACCACTGTAAAACGTACCAACTTTTCATATTATATGCAGCATTTTGGTATAAAAAAACAAACAATTGTGGGTGGTTGTTATCGTTATGTTTAGTAAGCACATTGCATTATCTTCGTGAAAAATTGTACCTGCAATTTACACTTTAACAAGCAGAATCACTGAAGGAAAGAGAAACACAAGAACTACAACTGACTTCAGACACAGTCTTAGATTAAATCAGATGAAGATAAAAGAAGACATTCAATCTGAAGATCTCATTCTCAGCAGAGGAGGATTAAACAACTCCACAAACAGCCTTTATTTTTTATTTATATAGCGCTTTTTACAATACAGATTGTATCAAAGCGCTTCACAGTGATAACATGAAAACAATATAACAAAGTTTGTTTCTAAAAGAAATTGCGTCAACGTCCACCTTAAGTAAGGCAGATCAATAATATTATTGAATATTAAATGTCCCCAACTAAGCAAGCCAAAAGCCAAGGCAACAGTGGCAAGGAACCAAAACTCCATCAGGTGACAGAATGGAGAAAAAAACCTTGGGAGAAACCAGGCTCAGTCGGAGGGCCAGTTCTCCTCTGGTCAACGAAGGAACAGTGCATGATTCGGGCAGCATTACAAGTCAGATTGGATCGGAACATTTAGAGTATTTTTTGGAAGTCCAAGTATGCACGCCGGTCTTAAGACGAGTTGTTGAGGATCAGTGCCGTCCACTATAGAGAGTCCATATCGCCCGTGTTGAGTCGTCACTTCATAGGCTTTGTGATTGGAGCATCTGAAGTCTCCGTGAGAGGCTGGATACAAACTGGAGCTGACGAACGCCATTTTCTCGGGACTCGCGTCCCGAGATAACAGCAGAAAAGCAAAGGGAAAATAATTAGCGTAGCTGCTGTTCATAATGATGATTTCCATAACACAGGCGTAAATGACAAAACATGAAGACAGTGACTCTTGCGTCCCAAAATCACCCCCCTCCGTCCCCCACTCAACTCAGCCCAGCTTACTGACCTCTACGTCCCTCCTGCTGCTGAGACCTAACCACAATCTCTCCGACACCCAACCATACGCGCCAACCCGTTGACTAAGGCTGTCGAGCCCCACTGGTGCGTGAATAGGCAGTTTCAGTGGACAACGGTTCCGTATGGCATACTACCTACCGCAACACAATATCTGCCCAACCACCCGTCATTCACGCAATATACACAGGAACGTAATGACTGTAAATACTATGCAACCTATACAGATAACCTACAGTCTCTTCAAGTTTTATAGTATTAAATGCATTTGATCTGATTCAGCAGTATTATAAAAGGTAAGCATTATGTAAATGCTTGGCTAAAGAGATGCGTCTTTAATCTAGTTGTAACCCTTTCGAATTTAACATTCAGAATGAAAGTATATTTATTTGTAACTACGGTTGATTTATATACCATAAAAGGAGTTTCTGTATTTTAGGTGCAGTACTATCCTTAACCTCTAGAGGGCGATTAACGCTGTGGTATGTTGAGAGTCAGCGTATGTTGAAAATCAGATGAAGAAGCCTGCTGACTATGTACGCACGAGGTTAGCGTGTAGCTAGTCTCAGCCTCAGACGTCACGCCCACGGAACGTTGGCTAAACGTCTGATGCATATGGTACACTTAACTGGAAACACTTCAGGAATGTCGAAGTCGTCATCTGATTGGTTGAATTGTATCGGATTTCCGGGGGGCGCGAGTGTCGCGTTTATTTTCGGTCTGCCAGGAAACAAAGCGCAGACCCTTCTTATACTGTCTATGGCGCAGACGTGTGATTGCGGAAGAAAAACTGTTGTGTTTACATGAGTGACAATGAGCATTTATCAAGATCAGCTAAACGTAGGATTCTCAAAAGTATGCGAGGTTCACGGCGTAGACTCTTTAAGAGATGTCCAGGAGTTTTGTTTGAGGCACTTAGTGGAGACAAAAAGAGATATTTTAGCCTGTTTGCCGACGGGATTTGGGAAGAGTGTTATTTTCCAAGCCTGGCCGACCCTTTGTCAGCATTTATAAGGATTCCCAGCAGATCCAACTTTACTAGTTGTGTGTCCCCTCCTATCTATTACATAGCTGTCAACCCTCCCGTTTTTTCCGGGTTTCTCACGTATTTTAGCTCTTTTCCCGCTGTCTTCCCGTTTTATTATTTTCCCGTAAAATATCCCGTATTTTTACGCTCTGATTAGATTGTGTGAGACGTACATGCTCGGGCAGATTCGGCTTGAAGTCGTTCATCGTCGGATGCGGCGCCGCGCGCGCTGTTACAAAAAAAGCTGTGCACACAGCCAAGCGAAATGGGGTCTTGCCGGTCTTGCGCACCCAACGCGTAATCTTTGCCGCGCTCGTGCGGACGCGTCAAGTATAAACAATTATACTCCGTGTCAGCGCGCGCTTTGATCGGTAAAGGAGCACAGACCTCTCCCTAATCATCTCCAGCAGCCCCCGAAGCACCACGTACCGTTTCCCTCGTAAGCTGATATTAGTATTTAAACATTCTCTGATAAAAAATGTTTAAAAAATGACACTTTCTCTCATACACACACACACTGTCTCTTTCTCTCTCACTCATTTGTAGTTATAAACTCTTTAGACTTTTAATGATTAGTGCTTTATTTTTAAAGTTTGTGGTGGGTAAGAATCTTGTAAAAAAAAAAATCCCTTATTTTGGGGATGGATTCCGGGAAATCTCCCTTATATTCAATGTTCAATGTTGACTAGGATCTATTATGGAAGATCAAGTGAAGTACCTAACTGTAAAGGTAGGCCTATCAGCCGCGTTTGCGGGCAAACATGAAACAACAGACGCTGACATCGCAGCTGGCCGATTCAGTATTGTGTTCGGTTTTCTTCTCCTTCTTTGATTTTCTATGCTGACTGACTTGTTGCACGCCGGTCTGTTGTTGTGGGGACATTTCCACGCCCCGAAACGTGACGCTGAACGAAACGAACTGTAATTGGTTGTTTGACATGTCGGTCAAACGGCCTTATGGGCGGGCCTTGGCCAAAGAAAGCTGCTATGAGTTCCAGACCTTCAGCCGTCAGTCTGAAGGTCTGGCTACGCGAGACTAGCGTGTAGCTGCAAAAAGACGATCTAATTTTCATTTGTTCTTCGGTTCAATGTGCATATTCTTTTATAAAGAGTAATATTAGTCATCGAGGTTGTTTATTTATCCAGTTGCTGAGGAAAACAACCGGTCAAAGCTTTTGGTTACTGGTTTTTCTTTTACACGAACTCTGGTGAGTTTTGCTTATGCATTACTTTAACTTTCAAATTGATATTCCTTTTTCATTATATGTGTCTTAAAGCCAATCAGAGTTATATATTATGTTTTAGAATGTATGTTTATATGGTAAAGTTAATACAGAGTCAAATCTGTCCGTGTATAATGCTAGTTTAACTGTTTAGTTAAATTATTTTATTTTCTACAAGTGTTATAAATGCAGCAAATGATAAAAGAAATGTTGTACAACTAACGAAATATTCAAATAAGAGAAATATATTGCATATTGAAATACTTTTATGTGTTTAAGCTGTTTATTTGCACTTATATTGTCACGTGTTGAATTAACACTGGTAATAACGGACATTTTGTGCAGCTAATAGAAAATGTCGGTGTAAAAATGGTTTATATTGAGAAAAATGTTTAATGTGACTGCATTGTTTTATGCAGATTGGTTTTTTTGAATGCTGATTCAATTTGAGTGATCAACCATTTGAACGGCGAGCCAGACCCTGATCTGCCACTCAAAGAATCGTCGTGGTCCATCACGGATGCACACAAGAGAGCTAAGCACATACATACTACCCGGGTAGCAACACAAAAGGCCTTTACACACCAATACATTGAGGCTCTTTACACACAAATACATTGAAGCTCTTTACACACACACATGACCATTGGAGCTTAACACATGGACATTTGAGTTTTTTCATATGGACATTTGAGCACTTCATATACTACAAAGGATCCAGAAGAAATTATTGAGACTGTGTTTTATTTTGTTTAATTTTATTTCATTTTTGGTATTTACATTCAACTTCTGGTTTGATATGAATCATTTTGTTGTTGGTTCATAGAGTTGAGTGGAGACCAGACAAAGAGTCAAACTGTGAGAATATTGTTTAAATATTGAATGTGAATTATTGTAAATAAAATTGCCGGCTGATAATTACTTAAAATTGATTTGGTCCACCCTTTTACTTTTAAATCCACCCAGAGCCGAACCTAGGCTGAATTTAATCTCTGTAGAGTAACATACATAGAATATTGCATTCGTTGTCCCCGTTACATAGTTTTAAACTGGGACAGCGAGTCAGAGCCTCGAACAATATCAGGAAGGCTATTCCAGAGTTTAGGAGCTAAATGTGAGAACGCCCTCCCTCCTTTAGTGGACTTAGATATCCTAGGAATGACTAGAAGCCTCGAATTTAGAGATCTTAAAGAACGCGATGGATTGTAGGGCGATAGAAGGTCCATTAAATACACAGGAGCTAAACCATTTAGGGCTTTATAGGTCAGTAATAGTACTTTGTAATTGATACGGAACTTGATAGGTAACCAGTGTAGAGATGATAAAATTGGTGTTATATGATCATATTTTCTTGACCTAGTAAGAACTCTGGCGGCTGCATTTTGCACTAACTGTAGCTTGTTTATTGAGGATGCAGGACAACCGGCTAATAAAGCATTACAGTAATCTAGTCTCGAGGTCATGAATGCATGAACTAACTTTTCTGCATCGGAAACAGATAGCATGTTACGTAATTTAGCAATGTTTCTAAGGTGGAAAAAGGCTGTTCTTGTAACATATGAAATATGATTTTCAAAAGACAAGTTGTGGTCTAGTATAACTCCCAGGTCTTTTACCGTAGAGGATAAAGTAACAGGACATCCTTCTATATTAAAGTTGTATTGTAAGTGGTTTTGTGGATAGTTTTTTGGACCAACAAGTAATACCTCCGTTTTATCTGGATTTAGTAGCAGGAAATTATGCGTCATCCAGCATTTTATATCTTTAAGACACTCTGTCAATTTTGATGAGTTAGTTTTTTCATCTGGCCGTGATGAAATATATAATTGAGTGTCATCAGCATAACAGTGGAAATTAATTCCATGTTTTCTTATAATATTACCAAGTGGCAGCATATATATTGAGAATAGCAGAGGGCCTAACACCGATCCTTGCGGCACTCCATAGTCTACTGACGTTATCTTCGATTTTTCCCCATTTAAACAGACAAAATGGTAACGGTCTGATAAATACGATCTGAACCAGCTTAATGCCTGTCCCTGAACACCAGTGTAGATTTGTAGTCGATCCAAGAGTATTTTATGATCGATAGTGTCAAACGCAGCACTAAGATCGAGTAGAACTAATATTGAGATACAGCCTTGGTCAGAAGCTAAAAGTAAATCATTTGTAATTTTAACTAGCGCAGTTTCTGTGCTATGATGCGGTCTGAATCCTGACTGAAATTTTTCATATATCTCATTTTCTTGCATGAAAGAGCACAATTGAGCGGACACAGTCTTTTCTAGTATTTTAGACATAAATGGAAGATTTGAAATCGGTCTGTAATTTGCTAAGTTATTTGGATCTAATTGCGGTTTCTTAATAAGAGGTTTTATTACTGCCAGCTTGAATATTTTTGGAACATGACCTAAAGATAAAGACGAGTTAATAATATTAAGAAGAGGCTCTTCCACTACAGGTAACACTTCTTTCAGATATTTAGTTGGTATTGGATCTAATAAACATGTTGTTGGTTTAGATGCAATGATAAGTTTATTTAGCTCTTCCTGTCCTATAGTTGTAAAGCGGTGTAGTTGTTCTTGATGGGCGATAATTGAGGCTGAATCATAAGACACCATAGAGGATTGTACATTTACAATTGTGTTTCGGATGCTTTCTATTTTCTCATTGAAGTAGTTCATAAAATCATTACAGCTATACTGTAACGGAATAATTTGCTCGGGTGATGTCTGTTTATTTGTTAGTCTAGCCACGGTGTTAAATAAAAACCTTGGATTATTTTGGTTATTTTCTATTAGTTTGCGGAGATGCTCAGCCCTGGCTGCTTTTAGAGCTTTTTTATAACGTGACATACTGTCTTTCCACGCGATTCTAAAGACCTCTAAATTAGTTTGTTTCCATTTACGCTCTAGGTTACGAGTTTCTCTCTTGATAGCATGCGTAGCACTGTTGTACCATGGTGCTTTAGTTTTCTCTCTAACCTTTTTTGATCTAATTGGTGCAACAATATCTAATGTACTAGAGAAAATGGTGCTCAAACTGCTAGTCATTTCCTCTAGTTCATCTGTTTGTTTGGGTTCTCTGAGCAGCTGAGATAGATCAGGTAAGCTATTTGAGAATCTATCTATAGTGGTCGGAAGGATTGTTCTGCCTGGTCTATAACGTGGCGCAACATGACAAATTTCAGCAGTGCATATTATACAAGTTACCATGTGATGATCGGTGAGATCGTCACTTTGCGGTATAATATCTATATCGGTTAGATTGGTTTCATATGATATAATTAAATCTAGTGTATGATTTAGACGATGAGTGGGACCACTGACATTCTGCTTGACCCCAAAGGAGTTTAATAAATCTGTAAACGCAGTCCCTAACGCATCGTTTGTGTTATCTACGTGTATGTTAAAATCTCCAACAATTATTGCTTTATCGGCATTGACCAATAGATCTAAAAGAAAGTCTGCAAACTCTTTTAGGAAATCAGCATATGGTCCTGGAGGTCTATATACAGTAGCCAAGGCTAGAGATAATAGGGATTTATTTCTTACATCTAAGAGCGTAACGTTTAGCACAAGTACTTCAAACGAGTTAAACCTGTGACCTGTTTTCTGAGTAACATTAATAATATCTCTATAGATTGTTGCAACACCGCCGCCACGACCGATCAGACGGGGCTCATGCTTATAACAGTATCCTGGCGGGGTAGACTCATTTAGACCGAAATACTCGTTTGGTTTAAGCCAGGTTTCAGTAAGGCAAAGTACATCGAAGCTATTATCTGTGACCATTTCATTTACAATAACCGCCTTAGGTGTGAGCGATCTAATGTTTAGAAGACCTAGTTTTTCAGAAATTGTTTTTGTTCACTGATATTTAGATTTTCAGGTTTAATTACAATAAGATTTTTCCTAGATCCTACAGTGGATTTATTATTTGGCCTCACTAAACGAGGAATAGACACAGTTTCTATATAATGTTCTACACTACTTATATCAATTAAATTGGCACAGCAAAGACTGTGATTTGGAATTTGATTTTCTAGTCATACGGTGTGTAACGTCTTGGAGATGTTGTCCGACAGAACAGCCGCTCCGGCTCTGCTGGGGTGCAGGCCATCAGCACGGTAGAGCCTAGGTCGCTCCCAGAACAGATTCCAATTATTTACAAAGAGCAGTTTTTGTTCATTACACAATGACATTAACCATTCATTTAGTGCAAATAATCTACTGAACCTTTCCTGTCCTTGTCGGTACGTGGGAAGCGGTCCAGACACGATGATCGTTGCCTCAGGCGCTGTGCTGCGTACCATCTCGATCAGGCTCCTGTAGTCCTTCTTCAGAACCTCCGTCTGCCGCAGCCTGATATCGTTTGTTCCAGCGTGAAGCACCACAGCTCCGACGCGCTCTTCACCGTTCAGGATCTCGGGAACCTGTGCGGCGACATCAAGAACACGAGCACCAGGAAGGCAGTGAGTGCGCACCTTACCCTTACCTGAGGTAGCACGGACATGACGGACCATGGAAGTGCCGATGATCACGGCGTCGTCCCGTTCCGACTCGCGAAGAGGGGAGAAGCGGTTCCGGGTGGAGATCTCGAAGACCGGGAGGGGCGGAGAGGTTCTTGCTCTGGTCCTGGCTCGTGTCTTCCGCTGTGGGATCACCCAGGGTCCATGGTGCTGTGTCGGTGCCGGAGTGAATGATGCCAGAGATGATCGCGTCCTCCTGGGCAGAGAAACGCACGGAGTAGACGAAGTCGGAGTCAAAAAGTTACTAACCACTGACTTGTGTGCATCGGCGCGTGACGTTTCAAGCGCTGATCGGCGATCCCGCAGCTCGGCTTGTTTCTCCAGCAGACCACGGATCTGTTTCTCCACCGATTCAAGCTCCAATCGTACCGAAATCAGTTCGAATGTGTCCTCACCTGCACTCAGAGGTAACGTTAGACACACATCTGATATGTTCGCCATAACAGATGAACAGTAGATTAGTAGTGATACTACCAATATCACTAGTAATTTAGGACTGAAATGCCGGATATAACCTGTATCCTTTCAGTGAAACGGGTGTAAAATCAGACGCTCCATAGGCGCGAGGCCACGCGTGAAATGCTAGCGGACTAAAGGCTAGTAGCCGAGATTCGCAAAGTTGGGTCTAAGTAGCGATATCAAAGCAATCCGATTGTTTTTTTATAAGGAATAGTATCGAGGATAAGTTCCCATGATATAAAAATAGAAAGTGCTTGTTTATAAATGAGTGGTAAAGAAGAAAATCAAGGATTAATGAATTGATTCGACGGAGCTTTCAAACACAAACACCGACTGCTCGCGCATGCGCATGCCTGGTAGACAGCTGGTAAACAGCATTACCAGCTTCACTTATTACTAACCAGACTGACTTCATTTCTGTCAGATGTCTACAGAAGCTCTTATTGAGAATTAACAGAGGTTTCGATGTTGATGTTTTAGCCATTATGGTGAACCGTTTCCTTTATTTGGGCAATTTGACTCTTGACTTCTTATGTGATTGTATGGTCTTTGCAACAGTGTTTATCAAAACACATAATTTGTTGCAAAGAAAGCCAAAAACAAAGGTGGTCTGGAGATAGGGCTATAGTTTACAACATAATAAAGAACAAAATATGACCAAAAGTTATAATATGTTATTAATAGTTTTTTTTTCAACAACATTAATTTTTGTTTATAAAGATCGGATAGCAAGCTGATTTTTTTTAATATTGGGAAAGTAATCTGCATGAAGCATGTCACCATTGTTGAGATTCATATGCTGATTCTTGATGTCTGTTTGTTTAAAAAAAAATAGTAATGATTTTCAAAAACTGTCTGCAATGTATATAAAAATGCAGAATGTCTGCTCTGTGTCAAGAAAGGTGAAAGTTATTTATTAAAAACAAATTACAACTTTTGGTCAGGGATAAGACTAGAGAACCATTTTATTTTTTTCTACTACACTTGAACACCTTTGTTTATTGTTTCCATTGTAACAAATTATGTGCTTTGGTAAACACTGTTACAAAGACCAAAATTGCACTTAAAATGTCAAGAGTCAAACTGCTCAACTAAAGGAAACACTGATCACAATAATGGTGACCAAACGTTTTAAAACATTGACATCTAAACCACCGTTCATAGACATCTGACAGAAATAAAGTCAGTCTGGTTAGTAATAAATGAAGCTGGTAATGCTGATTGTGGAGTTGTTTAGGTTAGGGAAACGTTCTGATAAATTAAAAAAAAGTTATATTTCCGTAATGAAAACATTCCGGGATAACCAAAAACAACCTTTACAAATACATGTTTTGGGAACATTCCCAATTGTAGCTGGGTAGTGAGAGACTTAAGCTAGCCCAAAACTTGAAGATTTTAAGCCCAATTTGCAACCCCCAAAAATTCAAAGCTTGGACGATTCTTCTAGGATGTGCATTCAGAGTATTACAATGCTAATGTTTGTGTCTGTGGTCTCCCACAGTTTTAAAATCGGTTAAGATTGTGTCCCAGGCCTTACACAGATATTAGATGACCCAACACCTGTGAAGAGATGACGCTAACTCCTGCGAGGACTTCAGATGACGCCAACTCTGAATCCACACACACAACTGCCAAATGTCCCATATTGTAATAATTATGATAACCACCTAATCATTGCTTTAACATACTCATTGTTTTTACATAAACTGATGCATTGGTTTGTTAACCCTCATGTGGTGTTCAAAACCCTATAACACCTGTGGTGTTCCCGGTCAAAAATGACCGGCCCATAAAAAAAACCTTATAAGTCACTCATTATACCATATTTTCACCCAATCTTGGATTCAATCTTTTTGTCAACATGTTCTCTTTCAATTAGGACTGGTTTTATATTTTGATTTGCATCTGAATAATCATAGGCCTCATTTATTTGAGAGTAGGCATTTCACTTTTTTTTTTTTTTTTTTTTTTTTTTTACATTTTGAATAATTTTGGAAATATTAAATAAAATCTGAAGAAAATTGGTATTGTTGATCACACTAGTCAACTTAAAATTTTCACCAGGAATTTTGTTTTGAAACTTTTGTTTTGTAAAAAATATGGCACATAGTCACACTTGTGGTGTTCCCGGTCAAAAATGACCGGCCTATAAAAAATAGCTTATAAGTCACTCATAATACCATATTTTCACCCAATCTTGGATTCAATCTTTTTGTCAACTTGTTCTCTTTCAATTAGGACTGTTTTGTTTCTGTTTGCATCTGATTAATCGTTAAAATTAATTTTTACAGCAATTTGTTACAGTGTAGGAATATATTAAAAACAAACTTCAACAAGTCATTTTCTGGCTACAGGTAATTCAAGCTAAGAACAGTGTATGATGTGACTATATTAATGGTACAACACAATTGCTAGATACAAAAGACATCAGTGAATCATTCTATTTCATGATGATAATAAAACCATCAACAGGAAACCATCATCACCTGATCTCATTTAACTGTAGCTTTCTTTGCTGCTGCAAATGTGCTTGATAAACACACTGTCACAGCGGTTAAAGATAAAAAACATATTAAAAGTTTAGAGGACAACTAATGGAAACACTAATCGCTGTTATGGTGACTTCAAATGAAACAGAGTTAAACCTCTGTTAATTCTCAATAAAACTTATGTAGACATCTGACAGAAATTAAGTCAGTCTGGTTAGTAATAAGTGAAGCTGGTAATGCTGTTTGTGGAGTTGTTTAATCCTCCTCTGCTGAGATCTTCAGATTTAATGTCTTCTTTTCTCTTCAGGTGATTTCATCTAAGACTGTGTCTGAAGTCAGTTGTAGTTCTTGTGTTTCTTTTTCTGTTCTCTTCTTTCCTTCAGTGATTCTGCTTGTTAACAGGCTTATTAAGGTTGAGATGACTCCATATTTAATATACACAGATTTTGTGGCTCAGATAAGGTCCAGTTCTGGTTTATTTATTTGCTCTTGGCTGACATGTGGCATTGCTATGGCCTGCTTGTGGCCCAGATCTGGCAAACAGGAGTGAGTCGCCCAAGGGCCATTATTCTACCCTGCATGTGGGCCAGATCATCTTTCCACGGGTGCCAGATGTGGGCCGACACAATGTTGTTCTCTGGATTTTTTTTTTTTTTAATAATAGTTGTATTACCATACCCAACTCACAGAGCACTCAATTTAAGGGGCAGTACAATTCCCTTTCCTCTTTTAAACAGACTGAATATGAAAATAAGATCCAGATCTGTCAATTCAGAGAAAAGAACATACAGTTTCGAGAGGGAAATTAGTTGCACGTTATTTCAAATATCTGTTTGTCACGTCAGTGAACAATAATTCATAAATCAACCACTAGAGGTCCTAATAGTCCAGTTTAACCAATAGAAACAGAGACAGGACAGCCTGAAACTAGCCTGGATGCCAGCCCGAACCCCGCCCACAACATTTTTTGATCGGGAAGTTCGGTCTGGACTCGCTCCATTGAGGAGTAATTATGATCGGTTCAGAAATCGTCGGGCCAATCAAATTGCCAGGGCGGGCTTTATACGATGATGGACAGATGATCTGCAGGGACGTAATCCTCACGTTATCAAAGAGCGCTTGGGTTGAACTGGTTTCCCTCAGAGACGACTGCAGCTGGAGAACTGAGATGTAGAGATTCCGCTATCGCGTCTGTTGTAAAAGAAATCGACAGCGCATTCATTTTAAAAGACGAACATAGAACTGCAATCAAGGCATTTGTTGATCGGAAAGATGTGTTTGCAGTCCTTCCTATGGGATTCGGCAAAAGTTTAATTTATCAGCTGGCTCCGATGGTAACTAAGAAGATGGGACGCAATGAAAACCCTGTGGTCGTTGTGGTTTCTCCTTTGGTCGCACTCATAGAGGACCAAGTAAAATAAGCAACACTCGTTATTTTACTTCTTCCAGCGTGCGTGCATTTGAGTTCTGTAGTTGACAACTGTACTATGCAAAGTAGTTGACTTACTGCGTTGCTCTCATTGGTTGTAGGTCTATCCAATTGAGTGCAGAGTTTTTTTTTTTTTCTGGTTTGGTTAAGACACGCCTCATAATCAAAGCCCTATGAAGCAGTATCAGACTCACATTCTGACTAGAATATGAGTATGACGAAGTCAGGCTAGCCTGAAACTGCATGAGGTTCATAATCAGGTTTATTGAAGCACTGGCCCTAAACATACGAAGTAAAACATGAAAAGGAAACTCTTTATAAAATACACAATACAACATAATAGATAAAACATAAAATAAAAAACAATGCATTTCAATATTGATAAGCAGTACAGATCACTGGATTTTTTATTTTTTTGTCAAAACATCTTTTATTATTTATTAATGTCATATCGTTATACAAAGAGTTACAAACTGCATATTTTTATTTACATAGATGTGCAACTGACATTCTTTGGATTAACTTCAAATGAGATTGTGATGTATAAAATGTGAACATTGTTCATGTTGTAAATGTATTTCTCTCTGAATAATATTTTTTGATTTCTAAGCTTAGGCCTAAAACTCAATATCAAACATTCTGAGTTATACATATAATATTGACCTATATATATATAGAACAAAGTAACCAAAGCATCAAATACACAAGAAACAGACTTTACATCAGTCAAGACCACAATGACTGCCATTCTCTCACAAAGAGTAAAATAAAACTAATGCATCTTAATGTGTGTGATGAACCTGTTTGTTGGTTGTGGTTCGAGATGGGTAAATTATTCCACAACTATCCAATAATCCATTTTATAGTCTAGATTAATATCTGAACACAGGCTTCTATCACTCATTTGACGCTGCTGTAGATCACTGATGCATCTTCCACAATCTGAACAGATGATCGCCTAAACAATCAAACAAACAGCAGCACAACAATATTATAGCTGATATAACATGTGCTGGTTAAGTTGGTGTTGGTGAAGCTGGTGCTGGTTAAGTTAGTACTGGTTAGGTTGGTACTGGTTAAGTTGGTGCTGGTTAAGTTGGTACTGTATAAATTGGTGCTGGTTAAGGTGGTACTGGTTAAGTTGGTACTGGATAAATTGGTGCTGGTTAAGTTAGTACTGGTTAAGTTGGTACTGGTTAAGTTGGTGCTGGTTAAGTTGGTACTGGATAAATTGGTGCTGGTTAAGGTGGTACTGGTTAAGTTGGTACTGGATAAATTGGTGCTGGTTAAGTTAGTACTGGTTAAGTTGGTGCTGGTTAAGTTGGTACTGAATAAATTGGTGCTGGTTAAGTTAGTACTGGTTAAGTTGGTACTGGTTAAGTTGGTGCTGGTTAAGTTGGTACTGGTTTACATTTTACATTACATTTACATTTACAGGTTAGGTTGGTACTGGTTAAGTTGGTGCTGGTTAAATTGGTACTGGTTAAGTTGGTGTTGGTGAAGCTGGAATTGGTTAAGTTAGTACTGGTTAAGCTGGTGCTGGTTAAGTTGGTACTGGATAAATTGGTGCTGGTTAAGGTGGTATAGTGGCTAAGTTGGTGCTGTTTAAATTGGTGCTGGTTAAATTGGTACTGGTTAAGTTGGGGTTGGTAAAGCTGGTACTGAATAAATTGGTGCTGGTTAAGGTGGTATAGTGGCTAAGTTGGCGCTGTTTAAATTGGTGCTGGTTAAGTTGGTGTTGGTAAAGCTGGTACTGAATAAATTGGCGCTGGTTAAAGGAGAACTCCGGTCAATTTTAACATTGAGCTCATTTTTTTGTACATTTGGAGTGCTGTCAGTACAGACAAAAACGACAAAAATCGGTGTTGCCTACACTGTGTTATCCTCTTTTTAAAATTCGCACCCTGTTGACTTCAATGGGGCAAGTTCTAAACCTGCTTTTAGCCTCTTAACATCCTTGATTTGTCATTACAAGTGCACAGCCATGTGAGTGGTGTTATTAAGAGTGACCACGGTCAATCTGACTGCAGTAGATGTGCAAGATATTAATAAAAATGATGTTAATTCAGCCAGCTCACATACCCGTATTTACTTCCTGGTTTCGTTCGAAGTCCACAGCAGTCGATTGTCGAGTTCGCGCGCGCGATCATTGGTAACTAATAACTAATGATCGCGCGCGCGAACTCGACAATCGACTGCTGTGGACTTCGAACGAAAACAGGAAGTAAATACAGGTATGTGAGCTGGCTAAATTAACATCGTTTTTATTCATATCTTGCACATTTACTGCAGTCAGATTGACCGTGGTCACTCTTAATAACACCACTCACATGGCTGTGCACTTGTAATGACAAATCAAGGATGTTAAGAGGCTAAAAGCAGGTTTAGAACTTGCCCCATTGAAGTCAACAGGGTGTGAATTTTAAAGGGGAAATTAAGCAGTCAGTCAAGTTTACATAATTTACAAGATGGATTACCACTATAATCAAAAATTATAAAAGAAACATGACAAATGTTAACATATAAAAGAAAAAAGAAACACCGTTATGTCTTTCGAGCGGCAAGGGCGCCGCCATTGTGCAGTATTATAACTGGTGACGTCACGGGGTTGGTTGGCTCTGTGCTGAGTTCAGTAAAATACAGTGAAAGATGCATGTAAGCTGGTCGATCCAGCGAACAACTAACGTTAGGTACAGTCATTGTTGGCTAACAGCTGTAAGCATGAACTAGCAGCTAATGATAACTTAGTGTTTAGCTAGTGAACTTTATTAGTACCAGACAAAAAGACGACGTCTAACGTTAACAAACTGCACATGGAAACATTGTTCGTGATGTCTGCAATCATATTCCTGTCTCTTGTCAACACCATGGTCAAGATCAGCGTCTTGACAGCAGATGGATCGTGCTATCGTGGCGTAATAATCTGTTTGGTTGTAAAATGTATTACCTGAATGAAATGAAATCGAATGTATCGTCCTGTGGAATCATTCATTCACAGACAGCAGAAGATGTTCAACTAATAAAGATTTTCATCGCTGGCAAACAAATTGATAGATTTGCCGATTTGCTTTCACTAGACTGTACTGTAGGTCCACGGCCACTTCATCCAACGCTCTTGATGTTCTTAAATCTTCCTGAATAGAAAGCGCGTAAGTGATTCAGTGCGTGAGGAAACTGAACAGATCATTCAAACTGATTCGCGAACCGATTTAGACAGATCTGCCAACTTGTTTGATGAAGTCTTTGAACATAAACGACAAAAAAAGAGTGATTCATTTGTAGATTGAGCATCGCTCGTGCCCATAAAAAAGATACAGCGTGCTTGGAATAAACTGCGCATTTAACAACATGTTTGCATTAAAATAAAGTGCGCCGTTTGCATCCCTGTATATAACGAGATTTGGGCCATTTGGGCTGTATCTTTTTTTATGGGCACGAGCGATGCTCAATTTACAAATGAATCACTCTTTTTTTTTTGTCGTTTCTGTTCAAAGACTTCATCAAACAAGTTGGCAGATCTGTCTAAATCGGTTCGCGAATCAGTTTGAATGATCTGTTCAGTTTCCTCACGCACTGAATCACTAACGCGCTTTCTATTCACACTCGACTCGGAGTTGTAACAGGAAGATTTAAGAACATCAAGAGCGTTGGATGAAGTGGCCGTGGACCTACAGTACAGTCTAGTGAAAGCAAATCGGCAAATCTGTCAATTTGTTTGCCAGCGATGAAGATCTTTATTAGTTGAACATCTTCTGCTGTCTGTGAACGAATGATTCCACAGGACGATACATTCGATTTCATTTCATTCAGGTAATACATTTTACAACCAAACAGATTATTACGCCACGATAGCACGATCCATCTGCTGTCAAGACGCTGATCTTGACCATGGTGTTGACAAGAGACAGGAATATGATTGCAGACATCACGAACAATGTTTCCATGTGCAGTTTGTTAACGTTAGACGTCGTCTTTTTGTCTGGTACTAATAAAGTTCACTAGCTAAACACTAAGTTATCATTAGCTGCTAGTTCATGCTTACAGCTGTTAGCCAACAATGACTGTACCTAACGTTAGTTGTTCGCTGGATCGACCAGCTTACATGCATCTTTCACTGTATTTTACTGAACTCAGCACAGAGCCAACCAACCCCGTGATGTCACCAGTTATAATACTGCACAATGGCGGCGCCCTTGCCGCTCGAAAGACATAACGGTGTTTCTTTTTTCTTTTATATGTTAACATTTGTCATGTTTCTTTTATAATTTTTGATTATAGTGGTAATCCATCTTGTAAATTATGTAAACTTGACTGACTGCTTCATTTCCCCTTTAAAAAGAGGATAACACAGTGTAGGCAACACCGATTTTTGTCGTTTTTGTCTGTACTGACAGCACTCCAAATGTACAAAAAAATGAGCTCAATGTTAAAATTGACCGGAGTTCTCCTTTAAGGTGGTGCTGGTTAAGTTGGTGCTGGTTAAATTGGTACTGGTTAAGTTGGTGCTGGTTAAGGTGGTATAGTGGCTAAGTTGGTGCTGTCTAAATTGGTGCTGGTTAAATTGGTACTGGTTAAGTTGGGGTTGGTAAAGCTGGTACTGAATAAATTGGCGCTGGTTAAGGTGGTGCTGGTTAAGTTGGTACTAGTTACGTTTCTGCTGTTTAAGTTAGTACTGGATAAATTGGTGCTGGTTAAGGTGGTATAGTGGTTAAGTTGGTGCTGGTTAAATCGATGCTGGTTGAGTTGGTGCTGGTTAAGCTGGTACTGGTTAAGTTGGTGCTGGTTAAGTTTATGCTGGTTAAGTTGGTCCAACATTCCAACAATCGCTCATTAAACGATTGAACAGAGGCTTTGTGTTCGCTGGTCTCTATCACTCATTTGACGCTGCTGTAGATCACTGATGCATCTTCCACAATCTGAACAGTTGATCGCCTAAACAATCAAAACAAACAGCAGCACAACAATATTATAGCTGATATAACATGTGCTGGTTAAATTGGTATAGTGGTTAAGTTGGTGCTGGTTAAGTTAGTACTGGTTAAGTTGGTACTGGTTAAGTTGGTGCTGGTTAAATTGGTACTGGTTAAGTTGGTGTTGGTGAAGCTGGCATTGGTTAAGTTAGTACTGGTTAAGTTGGTACTGGTTAAGTTGGTGCTGGTTAAGTTGGTACTGGATAAATTGGTGCTGGTTAAGGTGGTGCTGGTTAAGTTGGTTCTGGTTAAATTGGTACTGGTTAAGTTGGTGTTGGTGATGCTGGTATTGGTTAAGTCAGTACTGGTTAAGCTGGTGCTGGTTAAGTTGGTACTGGATAAATTGGTGCTGGTTAAGGTGGTATAGTGGCTAAGTTGGTGCTGTTTAAATTGGTGCTGGTTAAGTTGGTGTTGGTAAAGCTGGTACTGAATAAATGGGCTCTATGCACAGCGATATTTCCGGTGAAGGTCTAAGGATGCTGGATTACTTCCGCCGATCGTAGAGTCCAATGCTATACCGAGAATTTATATTGGTTTTTATACTCTATTGCTATACTAAAGAAACATTAGTCACAAAAACAGACAAAACAGACACTCCTCATTTTGTTTATGCTTCTTTGTTTATTATATTAAATAAACATAACTATATATAAAATTACATCTAAACGTATTAAAGTTTCGTTTCAAAGACGAGAGGACAGTAAATTTTGAAAACTCTGCTATAATCCCGTTTTCCTCAGTTTTCCTCCGCTTTAAATCTCCCCAACCGGAAACACAAGAGCATTCTTGCGTCAAACGCGGAAGTTATGCGTGCATATAGCCCATTGGCGCTGGTTAAGGTGGTGCTGGTTAAGTTGGTGCTGGTTAAATTGGTACTGGTTAAGTTGGTGTTGGTGAAGCTGGTATTGGTTAAGTTCGTACTGGTTAAGCTGGTGCTGGTTAAGTTGGTACTGGATAAATTGGCGCTGGTTAAGGTGGTACAGTGGCTAAGTTGGTGCTGTTTAAATTGGTGCTGGTAAAGTTGGTGTTGGTAAAGCTGGTACTGAATAAATTGGCGCTGGTTAAGGTGGTGCTGGTTAAGTTGGTGCTGGTTAAATTGGTGCTGGTTAAGGAGGTATAGTGGTTAAGTTGGTGTTGGTGAAGCTGGTATTGGTTAAGTTAGTACTGGTTAAGCTGGTACTGGATAAATTGGTGCTGGTTAAGGTGGTATAGTGGCTAAGTTGGTGCTAGTGCCTGTTAAATTGGAACTGGTTTAGTTGGTACTGGTTAAGTTGGTACTGGTTAAGCTGGTACTGGTTAAGCTGGTACTGGTTAAGTTGGTTTTTCTCACCTCACTGCAGCATCCGGCTGATAAACTCTTATATCATCATATTGACTTTCATTCTCCTCTGCTCTCTTCGTCTCTATCTTTCTGTGATGTTGGACAGTTGCGTACTGGATCTCCTCAGTGTCTCTGGATTCAGGAGTTTTTCCTCTGAATCTTCTGGGTTTCACACTGGCATACGGAGCGTCATTGGCTGAATCCGGTTCAGAAAGAGGCTTGTTAATTGTAGGAGAAGAAAAAGACAGAATGAGTTTCAGAAGTGAAATAATCAAACTGCTGATGTAAATATACTAATGATTATCACATTATTACAAAATATATCTATATTATATTAAAACTATCAGAAATTTGAATGAAACCATGTAAAAAAATAAATTAAAAAAATCATGTCAAAAGTGATTTTTTTTCTTCATGAGTCACACCACCTGCTGGCTTGTACATACAGTTTGAGAATCACTGGTCTAAAACAAGATAAATATTAGTTTATGAACGTTTTTACTGGATTGTATTGATAACGTCTAATAATTGACAATGTTAGTTTCCCATCAGTCTGTACAGTTACAGTCTGAAACAAAAAACAATTGGTTTTCTGCTTCTGTAAAGTCATGTTGTGTTTGGATGAATTACCTCTTTCACTCTGTGATCTTCAGCTTTAACACTCCTTCGTTTTTTTCTGTAATAATGACAGTCATTAACAAAATATGAATGTTGTTTTTAAAGATTACTAATAAAACACAAATTAAAGGGTCACTCCACCCATTTGCATTAAGAGGTCCATTGTTAGACAACCAGTCATACTATTGAATGGTCGTGCAACATTCTTTCATTTTCCCCTGAGACGAGAGAAATCTACTATTTACCTTTTTCACTTCCTCCTACAATGACGCAAAAATCGTCATTTGACGTCATTGTAGGAGGAAGTGTAAAAAGGGGGGATTTCTGTATAGACTACAAGCACAAATTCCCACCCTTTCAAACCCGCCCATAGGGGGTTGGACCTAATGCGCTAACAGAGCTATCACAGATCAGTGGGTGGGACTTCACTTGCAGATACTGAAAGCAATATCAGCCATCTTGTTTATAAGCTAAGCTAACAAGCGCTGTGGAGATAGGAAGCTACGACAATGACGGAAGAAACTAAACATGATATGGAAGTAGAGGATTTTGAAATTCTGCTGCTCGAATCCGCTGTTCGTGGCTATCTTTACGAGCCGCAATATAGTAAAGAGCAGCTGAGGCTGATGGAGGATCAGGAGGCGGACGAGGAGCCAGGACTGGCTCGAGCTGGGCGGACTGCTGGTGCGTGTGCTCTCGCTGTGCGCTACGGACACAGATAGAGTCCGTCTGCTGCAGAGAATTTCAACGATCGCAATTTCTCCTAGACTAAATCTCTGAATCAGACGACCACACGGACGTTTGTGTTGTGATGTGAACCATCCTAGTTTCGCCTGACTGAAAATCCAGGTATCATGCAATAATTCACCATATAGAAAGAAATACAAACGAGTAATTCACTAATGAGTTTGCCAATGTAACGGGGTTCGTTGTTGTGGGAAGAAGGAGGCTGGAACCGGCGAACATTTAAACATTTTAATAGTAAAATAAACAAATACAAAACAAAAGTATAAGCCAGCTGGCCACACACAACAGAAACAAAACATAAAATCAGGCCTGCTCCTTTTGTGCTTCCGCTCCTCCGTGAGAGATATGAGACCGCTGCACAGGTGCCATTCATTATCACTCGCGTCGTCCTCTCACGTCCCTCGCCCTCGTCCTGCTCGCCACAGCCAACTAACTAGACATTTTTTGTGAAATGAATTTCAAACTCATTTAGCAGCTAGCCTTCTTGTAGACGGAAGAGTGATTTCTCTGATGTTTGCGCTGTTCTGGATTAGTGGGAGTGGCTTGCGGAGCTGTGCAATGTGGTGCATTGTGGGAGTTGTTGTCTTACATACAAATGCGCCCTAAAGTTATTTTCTGTCTTTTCTCGGTCAAGAGGGCACCAAATTCAAAATTTCTTTTACATTTCGACTACATATATAACCCACTTTCAATAAAGATTAATGTTGAAATGGGTGGAGTGACCCTTTAACCATTTTCTTCTACATCAGACCAAAAGTGAACTTATACAGTCACTGCAGTTTATTATTGAGCTCACAGTATAAACAGGATGATGATGGTGATGATGATGATGATGATGATGAAGAATAATCCTCCAGATGCCGCTGCGATCACAATCACATTCCTACCAGCAACATGATGAACTGAAAGAGGAAGATCATCATGATTAACTCTCCAAACTGATGAATGATGTGAAGATACAGGAGTGTGTTAATAAAAGCTTCACCTGTGACAGTTACAGCGTGTGATCTCTGAGATCCATGTTGATTGTGAGCCTGACAGTAGAAGCGTCCACTCTGTAGTGCACTGAAACTCTGTCCAGATCCAACAGCTGAGGTTTCATTCTCCTTAAACCAGCTGAAGTTCAGAGCAGGAGGGTTTGAGTCACTGATGCAGTTCAGAGTCACTGAATCTCCCTCCACTATTACACCAGATCCATTTATCCACACTGAGACGCTCCTGGGAGGATCTAAAACAGGACACAAATTAAAACCTTGAATAAACTCATTCAAACCCAATCTTCAAAAAAAATAAAGAGAAAAAGTGAATCTGCACTCACACATGACATTGAGCTGAACATCAGGAGAGACGTGAGTGTGTCCGTCTACAGCACAGCTATATCTGCCTGAATCCTCTCTTCTGACTGACTGCAGCAGGAGTTCATTGTTTCTGTCTCTTCTCTCAGTTAATGGCTGTGAGTTTCTGTACCAGATGAATGTTGCTCTGTCAGTCAGAGCGCAGCTGCTTTTACATGTCAGACTGACTGAATCTCCCTCTGTCACTCTCCCAGGAGACTCCACCTGAAGATCTGAACACAACACACACATTATATCTAGTGCTGCTGTCATACACTGATTATTATTCAACATAATGCACAGAAGAAGAGATAAACCTCACCAAAGTCACCTGTGACAGTAAGATTCACACCTGATTTACCAGTCCATTTTCCATCATCTTTATCAGTGATGAATCTGAAATAGTACTTGTGTGAATCCTTCAGTGTCACATGACTCATTCTAACGGTGCAGTTCTGCTGTTTATCTCCCAGATACTGAAGCCTCTGACTGTATTCAGGGTCATTAGACAGATCTGGAGACTTGACATCCTTTACAGGCTCGTGTTTGGTCCAGAACACTTCCTTGATCTGATATCCAGTAGGGTATGTATAAGTGCATCTCATTATCACTGTTGAGTCCTTTAGTGCACAGATGTGTGAAGGACTGTAACTCACACCCCAACCAGCACTAGAAACCCCTGAAACACAGAATTAATACTGATGAAAATGTTGTTTTATAAATTACAACAGACCATGAAAACAGCTTTCATATGTTGATTCCTGATGTCTGTGCGTGTCTAAAAGTTGTTTATGCAATTTTTTTAAAGTAAAAAATTTGACCATCTGATGTGAATCATGGCAATGTTGACAGTGAAAAATTTTAGATTATTAATAACACACTTTTAATCAGGGATGAGATTTATGCCTCACTCCACTAAATGAAAATGAAAATTATATCAACATAATGGATAAATAACATCCTCTGATCATATTTGTTTATTGCTTCACTTGCAATAAATAAGGTGTTTTGTTAAACACTGTTACAAAAACCGCAAACTAAAATTAAAACGGAGTCAAGAGCCCAACTAAAGCTGATCACTATAATGATGACTTAAAACTAAACTATTATTTTCAATAAAACATCAACATCTAAACCTCTGTTAATTTTCAATATGAGCTTTTGTAGACGGCTGACAGAAATAAAGTCAAACTGTCCGAACTGGATTCTCCAGCATGGGAGTCAGCAGTCTCTCTTGCAGCCGTAAGCTCTCCTCTTAAAGGGGTCATACAATGAGATACCTTGATCCTTGACAGTTAAGAGTTCGTTATACTATAAAAAATACCCTGTACGTTTCAAAACTCAAAACTTTCTAGTTATTCCAAAAACTGTTTTTATTGAAACCAAGGCCAGCAAACGACAGGATCTAAAAAGTGGAGACTTGTGACGTCACACTTCATCTTTGGCCCCGCCCACTGGAGCGTTAGTGAACAGTGACGTGAGAACGAGAAAAGATCGTTACAGGATCAATAGGGGGTGGGGGGGGGGGGGGGGGGTTCCCAACAATGTGAATGTCTCAGCAGTAAATTATTTGTTTGTATTCGGTGCATTTCACTGTGGATTATTTGGTAAATTTCGGTGCAGGCTTTGCAAACAGACTTTTACGATATGAATCTGTCAGCAACGCCACGACCATTACGTTTATTTCTAATGCCTGATCTGTGATCAGTGATTTCTGATGTAATTATTAAAGTTCAGACTGATTATCTCTCGAAATATTGTTCAATACTGTTTATGCATCAGTAAATCAAGCCAGTGACTAAACAATCAACACATCGTTTCTCTTAGTAGGATGAAATTAATCCTATTTAAACTGCGATTAAATGATATAAAGAAAACGATCAAAGAACTCCCTTTCCAATCGCCCAAGCTGTCAATCAAACAGTGCGAGTTTATCTGGACACTTGCCAAAACTTGTTGAAATCAATCATCACAAAATAATGACGCTATCATATGTATTTGCATCGTGTTTGCATTGTTATTTGGTGAAAGCCAGAGGTGTAATTTCATGCGCGATCAACCGAGACTGTCTGTCATCTGCTCAATGCTCATCACTGCAACCTTTCATGTGATGGAATAGATCATTACGATCAATACTTTTCACAATTCCTTAATCTCGATAGCTGTTGTAGTAAACGTTTTAGAGAGAGTTCCACATTTAGTAATACTAGCTATTTCATATGCAAACGTTTCAGCCAATCACAGCAGTGGGCGTTTATACTGAAGTCTTACAGCAGCCAATCACAGCAGTGGGCGTTTATACTGAAGTCTTACAGCAGCCAATCACAGCAGTGGGCGTTTACACTGAAGTCTCACAGCCAATCACAGCAGTGGGCATTTACACTGAAGTCTCACAGCCAATCACAGCAGTGGGCGTTTACAGTGAAGTCTTACAGCCAATCACAGCAGTGGGCGTTTACAGTGAAGTCTTACAGCAGCCAATCACAGCAGTGGGCATTTACACTGAAGTCTCACAGCCAATCACAGCAGTGGGCATTTACAGTGAAGTCTTACAGCCAATCACAGCAGTGGGCGTTTACAGTGAAGTCTTACAGCAGCCAATCACAGCAGTGGGCATTTACACTGAAGTCTCACAGCCAATCACAGCAGTGGGCGTTTACAGTGAAGTCTTACAGCCAATCACAGCAGTGGGCGTTTACACTGAAGTCTTACAGCAGCCAATCACAGCAGTGGGCGTTTACACTGAAGTCTTACAGCAGCCAATCACAGCAGTGGGCGTTTACACTGAAGTCTTACAGCAGCCAATCACAGCAGTGGGCGTTTACACTGAAGTCTCACAGCAGCCAATCACAGCAGTGGGCGTTTACACTGAAGTCTCACAGCCAATCACAGCAGTGGGCGTTTACACTGAAGTCGCACAGACACGCCCCTTAACACAGATATGCCTTTTATTTATAAATTATGACAATTGTTTATG